TCATTGAAGCAATGAGCATGAAACTGAGCAAACTCAGGGAGGCAGTGAAGGACAGGAAGGCCTGGCGCAATATGGTTCATGGGGTCACGAAGAGTCGGACACGACTTAACGACTAAACAACAACAACAAAGACTTTAAACTTAGGAAACCAAACCTAGAGGAAATCTTCCAGTTCACATAGAATCTCATTCCTGCTAGCCACTTCACTATAGTGGGTCTGGCAACATAGGACCAATTTTGCCTGATCAGCATCTCTTAGGTTCCTTTTTTATAGCATGACATTTATTTTACCCCTCTCACAGAGGTAAACATAGTTGTGTGCTTACTCCATTTTACAAAAACAGTATTTGGAACAATATTCCATCTGAAATACATAAGAAAAAAACATGCAATGTGAAAAGTTTCAATTTTTGCAGATTTTAAACAGAGGGGGCAGAGGGTTAGGCTTCTCAGGGATAAGCCACCTCTATAACAGTGGCATTCAACTGCTCTTCCTTGTGATGAGAAGGAAGAGACTCCTGTCAGCACACAAGCACTGTATGTAAGAGGAAACAAAACATCTGCAGCCACCTCACAGTTTTCTACAGTGCCTAACAGTAAAGTGTCAGCTCAGGGATCTTCAAATACCACCCAGTGCATCACCATATCATCCTGGTCAGAAGAGTCAAATATTTAATATGTCAGAATAGTTTATTATTTAAAATGGGACCCACTGCAGTTGCAATATCTCATAACAACTGATTGTATACAAGCAGAAGAAAACCCAAGATTTTAACACGGTCTGGCCAGATTTTATACTTCTTGCTCTCCTTTCTTGCCTGTTATCTGCTACAAGGAAAGGTCTTTGTCCTCATTCTGAATCTGGCATCCTTTTGGTGCTTGCTTCATAGTATTTCCCCCATACTCCAACTTACACAAAATAAAAATAAAAGCAAACAATGAGTGGATTCAGATGTCTTGGGACAACCAATTAAGTTGCAAGTGGGTAATGATTAAGGAAGACGCAGCTCACTTTTCACAGTTTGAATTTTGGCATGGTGGCTTCTTCCAACCAGAACAACTGAGAGGAGAAATTCACAGTTTCTTATCACTTTGTGTGTAAGCTACTTCTTTAGCTTATGGATGGAAGAAGCCTATGGGCTTCATTTAGAAGACATTTCAACCTAAAAATAAATCCCTGTTGACTATTTGCATCTGGCCAAGTCCCCATCTAGCCATATTTGGTTATGGTGTCCAAATACAGTTAGAACCATGCAATATTTTTAAAACTATCAAATTTATTATACTTTAATCTTCCATTGATTGAACTCCATTTCATCAAACATATTTGTCCAGAGTCTAGTGGTAGACTTGTTTTTGCCACAATATTCTAACTTTTATTTTATTCCTCTTTCTGATTAGTATCTCATTACTTGACCTTTGGGTCTTTATAAGGATTTCATACCACTGAGAGTATGTTCATGTGTATGCATGTGGATGTGTCTCTTTCTGTGTGTGTGTGTGTGTGTGTGTGTGCCCATAATGCTGTTGATTTCCTTGATTTTGGCTTAGCAAGCTGTGAAAAATCAACCAATTACGGCACCCCTAACAAGCCAAAGTTAAGCAACACTCAACACAATCTGTGGACCCATTGTAACTGATAATGAATATTTAATAATACATAATAAGATATTTAGGTTGACTCAGTTTCTCCTAAGTAAGGGGCACCAGAGGAGCCCTTGCATGGCTACTGTGAGGACTTTATGTGTTTTTTATGCTTTTTGTATTGTGAACTACCTAGAATCACAAGGTTGAGATTGGAAACTATATAAATTCTATAAATGAATAAATGTAATTCAAAAGATAATGATGATTTATTCAGGTTTGTGAAGGTGATAATATTCTTAGTACTTAAAGTCCTTATTATTTAACTGAACTTTTACAGAAAAAAATTAAACCCAATTTTATTCCATGAGCCTAGAGCTTGAATAATAATACCCTATGTTATCTCAAAATCTAGCCTTCTCTGACCTGGCAAACCAAATTAAATTTATTAAGTTACATAACTGAAATATTGAAAATTGTATTCATATTACAAAGCCCGCGTTTCCAAAAGAAAGCTCAGTAACTAAGAAAATATTTATATCAAAAATATGCAAAGATTTATTAAGGTCAGAACAGAAATAAAAAGTGACAGGAGTGCTAGTGGGACATGATATAAGGCACCATGATAATATGAATTTATTTTTGTGATAGTCACAATTTCCTTTATCTGGCACATGCATCATTGCCACTTCAAAATAATTCACTTCACTTGTGTAAAAAGAAAAAAACAAAGAAAAAAAATCTGCTCTCACCTGCTATTGAACTTCTCTGGATGTTTTTCTCGCATAATGTGAAATCTGTGAGCAATTGAAGCATCCTAAAAGAAATTTTAAAAATAAAATAAAATTATTATTTTGGGTGCATTGAAAAATACAAAATATTGTTAACAAAGCTATAGACCAAGTATGAAAAGTACTCCCTGGTCCATATTTATTATTTTAAGAATTCATACCAACTTTCCATAATAAATTTTTTTAAAATGTAGCTTTTAAAATAAATGTTGGTAAACTACAGTAGTATAGGGTCATCAAATGTCAGGCCCAGCCCAAGAACAATAGTGAAACAGTCCAGTTGAGTTCAGTTCCTTTATTTGCTTTCACCTTATAGACAGAATCTCACCAGTCTCAATCTATACTACTGCAACTAGTGGATATACCTTGGGAGATTCTAGGGAGTGGCTATCCTGAACCTCTTTCACTTCCCACACTCCCCCTGCGGACTGTATTGTCTTTTGTCTCCTTTCCCTTCCTGGAATGCACCCCCTGCCCTTCTTGATAGTCTTGATCTCTGTTGCTATTCACCACATCACCCTCCTCTTCATAGATACACTTCATCACACCAAAGCACAATAACTAATATTTAAACATTAATAAATCATCCAAATACAGAACTGATATAAAATGGCAATACAAAGAAAAGAATGCCAAGACCATATCATAAACCACATAAATATTTGAAAGGATCCAGGAAGAGGGAGCATATAGTTTGCTGGACACCTTCCACCCAATTTGATTCAATAATTCAGAAAATTATTTAGAACTGACTTAACTTTGCACATGCAGTGTTCATGTCTCTTTAGTTTGCCTGGGGTTTGCAAGAGAGGCAATTCACTCCTCCCATGTTTGTCTCCTCTTCTGTCACCTTGTTTTTACATTTCTTTTGCTAGCTTCCCTGTCAACTATCACATGCACAACCAAAGAGAAAATATGGATGATGCCTTCCAGAAGCAAACAGTAGACTTTGTCTCTCAACAGATGACAAGATAATTAAACTCTGCCTACATGGTCCTTCCAAGAATTTCCTGACTATCTTGCTGGCAACTTTCTCCTTCAAGTGGTAGAGAAAGATACCAGAGAATCAGTTATTCTTGATCTAACATCAGTCAATAAAGAAGAATTAAATAAGGAAATGAAATAGGAGAAAATTGGGAGAAAGTGATAATAAAACTTGGAGTTCTTGATTTTAAAGGAAACTAAATTTGAGCATAGTCATAAGCATATATGGGATTTTAAAAAGGGAATTTTAACAAACTCTAAGAAATGCTAAGTTAGTTCCCTTGGCAAGGGACACTAATAGGAAAAGGAACTCAAGATGGATGATGTAGAGGAGGGACAGGATACTAAAACTGTGCTTATTAGAAAGCCTAGGAAATGAAGAATATTGCTGGTTTTTGGGTTTCTTAAATCACTACGGATTGTTCAGTACTGTTGCATATCTATCTATCTATCTATCTATCTATCTATCTATCTATCTATCTATCATCTCTGTATCAACTGTATATATTTAAATAAATAGAGTTGAACGAACATCTTAGCGCGAGTGGCATGATTTTTTAAAAACATTCTGACAGGCTCTCAGCCTGATAAAATACCCTCAGGCAGAGTGAAGCAGTCACCCTCAGCTGCAGAGTCTCAATGCCATGAAAGAGTAACAAACTGTTAGTTGTTTATATGTTGTAACAGTTTTGCTGCCAGGGATGGCAAGAAGTGCTTCTGCAACTTTCTGGCGCATGGACCAAAACACTTTCACCAGCTTGATTATTACATAACAGGAATCTCAAACTCAAATAATCACAAGTAGCACAACACCGAACCTTTTTTATTACTTCTATTAAAAAAAGTGAGTCAAACATGTAGAAAATAAAAGTTATAATTATATGCTATTAAACATAAATGGAATCTGTTAAGTAAAATCCTATGTATGACTTTAAGCTAAGAATCCTGCCCCCACCTCTGCATTTAAATTTTGACTCTTGACAAATGCACAACTTCAGAAACAATATATTTAAATGTACTGAACAATACTTTCTGCATGAAATTAGGCAATCTATCTAAACAAATGAATTTTGCTACGCCTTTCTATAGTTTTCATCACCATAGTTAAGAAAGGTTGTTTGGAAGAGGTGCCCTTTATTTCTGAGGGGGTTTCTTACTTTTTGCCTTCAGAGAAATATACCTCATTCTCAAACAGAGGCTTTTCTATACACCAACATCCACGGAAGTATATTTATCTGTTCTTTCTGAAAAATAACAAGTTCTGGGATGGCATGAATGCAAAGCTTAAAGGAATACGGATTAAATCACATTCTAAGAAAAAAAAATCTATCCCAGATGCCACTGGCAGAAGAAGAGGTGTTACATATATTGTTATTGCTGGTCACACAGTCAGCCAGATGTTTAGACTGGATTTGGCATTTTTATCCACCTATCGAGTCCTTCCCAAGCACCTGAGATAGGCAGATGTTGTTTGATGATGTTAAAGGTATCGTCATAGAATATGAGCTGTTCCAAGTAAAGCTGCCATTTACTGACTGATGGTGATTTTGTCAATGCCAATGGTCTTCAAGTGGTGCTCCAGATGTTTTGGATTGCACTCAAGGCACTTATTACTGTTGGTACTATCTTTGCTTTCTTTTGCCACAGTCGTTCTATTTCTATTTGCCGGTCTTTGTATTTTGTGATATTCTCCAGTTCTTTCTCTTCTATTCTGCTGTCTCCAGGTGTTGCAATGTCCACTATGCAGACTTTTTTGTCATTCTTATCAACAATGGTTAAGTCTAGGGTGTTGTGTGGCAGGTGCTTGTCTGTTTGAATTGCAAAGTCCCAGAGCACTTTAGCTTCTTCATTTTCTCTTACTTTGCTTTGTGGTCCCACCAGTTCTTCCTTGCAGGCAAATGGTATTTCTTGCAAATGCTCCAATGCACACTTGTTGCTACTTTGTCATCCCATTGTTTGTAGTCAGTCTATGCAATCTTCTTGCAGCAGCTAACCAGGTGGTCTGCTGTTTCTTCAGCTTCTTTGCAGAGGCGGCATTCACTGTCTGTTGCTGTCTTCTCAATTCTGGCTTTATATGCATTTGTTCTTAAGGCTTGGTCT